GATGAGCAGTCAAATTTGACCTCTTGTAAAAGGTTCTACTAGAACCTTCAGTATATCTCATAAGTCAGCCTGCATCACATGGTAAGCCTTAAGTCATCCAGGGAATGAAGTTTTTTAGTTGACTACATTGCTGCTTGTTACAAGATCAATGTGCTATTAGTAAAGAAGAGGGGTAATGAATATTGGATAGGCGAAGTCTGGAGTGCTTCACAGGGCCTTGGAGGTCATGGTAAGGAATGTGGCCTTCAATCTGAGTGCAGCTGGGAAGCCGCAGAATGTTCTAAGCAGGACTGTGACAAGAAGGGGGAGACATTGAGGGTTGCCCCTTTGAGGCACAGCATCACACAACTGTGGACTTCTTTATTAGCCTCCTAGGGCTGCCATAGCCGAATATCACAAACTGGGTGGCTTAAAACAATAGATATTATTCTCTCACAGTTTTGACCAGAAATCTGAATCAAGGTGTCAGCAAGGTCACAGTCACTCTGGAGGTTAGGGTAGAATTCTTCCTTGCCTCCTCCTAGTTTCTGGTGGCCTCTGATAATCCTTGATGTTTCTTTGTAAACTGCATCACTCCAGTCTCTGTCTTTGATGTCACTTCTTCCCTGTGTCCCGTCTGTGTTTCTGTATCTGAATCTTCCTCTCCTTTGTTTTGTAGCAATCATATAACAAGCCTGTCATTGGATTTAAGTCCAACCCTAATGCAGTAGAACCTCATCTTAACTTGACATCTGCAAAGACTTATTTCCATATATGGTCATATCCAAAGCACTGGGGGTTATGACTTAAACATAGCTTTATGAGGGACACAATTAAACCTTCTGTGCATTTGAAAGGACTAACTTGGTTGTTAGTCCACGAAGTCAAAGAGGGACTTCCTTGGTGGTCCAGTGGCTAAGACTCCCAACTTCTAATGTAAGGGGCCTGGTAGGGTTCGATCCCTGACCAGGGAACTAGATCCCGCATGCCACAACTATGACCTGACACAATCAAATAAATTGATTAAATTAAATACATATTTTTAAAAAAGGACTAGAGAGCCACCTAGACCCTGCTAGGCTCTGTTGGCTACTCATGTCCTCCTCCCCTACTTTTGATGAAAAGACAGCCCAGGAATTAGGGAGGCAAGTTTACTTCCAAAATCTTGACTGTGCCAGGCACTGGTCCCTCTTACTTCTATAAAAGGGCAAAAGGAAGGTTCTGGGCTCCCTGCACAGGCCTCGCCTCGCCTCAGCAAACCCTTCTCAGGTATCAAGGATTCAGGGATCTTGAGCCGTGGTGCAGAGGTGATTTTCGCCTGTCCTGTGTCAGAGGCTTAGAGTTTGAGGCGGTGGGTGGAGATTGGAGAGGATACCTAAATGGGGGGCTGAATAGCATCTAAACTAGGTTTCCTTTCTTCAAGCAAAATTTTAGGCCCACTGATGCTGTTTAATAAACCACTCCTTTGTTGGACCTAGTGGAGAGAGGAATTGAGAGCTAGCTGTGTCTGTGGCAGGTGGTCGCAGCTGAGCCTGAATTGGCTTCAGAGTTGCGGTCCTGCAGACTTTCAGATGCACAGTGTTGGTCAGGGCCCCCTGTGGTTGTTCTTTGAGGTGGAATAAAATCCACTCACCACGTGATTCCCTGGAAGCACCTTGAGGGCCTTCGGACTCTTCTCTTGGGCACATTTGTTCATGTGTCTTTGCATGAGTTGGTGTGCAAGGGGCTTTCTTTCTTGGCAGTTTTTTTTTTTTTTTTTTCTGGAGCTTCTTTATTTTAAAAAAAAATTGAAGTATAGTTAATTCACCAGGTTTCCCTGGTGGCTCAGATGGTAAAGAATCTGCCTACAATGCAGGATACCCAGATTCAATTCCTGGGTCAGGAAGATCCCCTGGAGAAGGGAATAAGAGAGGAGCCTGGCGGGCTACAGTTCATAGGATCAGAAAGAGTTGGACAGGACTGAAGCAACTTAGCATGCATGCATACATAGTTTATTTACAATGTTGTGTTAATTTCTGATATACAGCAAAGTGATTCAGTATTCTATATTCTTTTCTATTCTTTCTATATTCTTTTCCACTATGGTTTGTCTCAGGGTACTGAATAGAGTTCCCTCTGCATAGAGTTCCCTCTGCTATACGGTAGAACCTTGTTTATCCTTTCTATGTAAAATACTTTGCATCTGCTAATGTCAAACTCCCAGTTCATCCGTTCTCTACACCCCTTCCCGGTGGCAACCACAAGTCTGTTGTCTATGTCTGTGAGTCTTCTTCGGTTTTGTAGATAGGTTCATTTGTGTCATATTTTAAATTCCACATGTAAGTGATATCATATGGTATTTGTCTTTCTCTTTCTGACTTACTTCACTTATATGATAATCTCTAGTTGTATCCATGTTGCTGCAAATAGCATTATTTAACGGAAAGAGTTGGACAGGACTGAAGCAACTTAGCATGCATGCATACATAGTTTATTTACAATGTTGTGTTAATTTTTGATATACAGCAAAGTGATTCAGTATTCTATATTCTTTTCTATTCTTTCTATATTCTTTTCCACTATGGTTTGTCTCAGGGTACTGAATAGAGTTCCCTCTGCTATACGGTAGAACCTTGTTTATCCTTTCTATGTAAAATACTTTGCATCTGCTAATGTCAAACTCCCAGTCCATCCATTCTGTACACCCCTTCCCGGTGGCAACCACAAGTCTGCTGTCTATGTCTGTGAGTCTTCTTCGGTTTTGTAGATAGGTTCATTTGTGTCATATTTTAAATTCCACATATAAGTGATATCATATGGTATTTGTCTTTCTCTTTCTGACTTACTTCACTTATATGATAATCTCTAGTTGTATCCATGTTGCTGCAAATAGCATTATTTAATTATTTTTTTATGACTGAGTAGTATTTTGTTGTATATATGTGCCACATCTTCTTTATCCAGTCATCTGTCAATGGACATTTAGGTTGTTTTCATCTCTTGGCTATTGAGAATAGTGCTGCTATGAACATAGGAGTGCATGTTTATTTTTAAATTATAGTTTTGTCTAGATATATGCTCAGGAGTGGGATTGTTGGATCATACGACAATTCTAGTTTTAGTTTTCTGAGGGACCTCCATACTATTTTCCATAGTGGTATCAGGTAATTTTGGGGGTTGTTTTTTGCTTTTTTTTTTTTTTTTGGTGATCAAGGTGGGGGCACCAGCAGATATGATTGGAGATAGGAAACTTGGAGACCCAAGGGGGAAAATATGACTTCTAGTCTTGGGCAGGGGGTGGGATGAGGGAAGAACCAGAAGCTGAAGGGGCTGCTTTCTTGAGGGAGGCTATGAGCACAGAAATTCCAATACCTGCAGGCAAGCTGAGATGCAGTGCTTCCTCCTCTGGGCATCTTCTAGGACCTCAGGGTAGATGACTGTGGCAGCAGTGGGAGGCCTCAGGTTGGCCCCCTGCTCAGGAGGTTTCATGAGTAAAACCAGAAATCCAGCAAGCGTGGGCCCAGGTGACTGTCACTAACAGGACCTGTGAGTCACCCTTTGAGGACTCCTGTGGGTGGTGGAGGCCCTCACTGGGCAAGTCGGGGGAGAATAGCAATAAGACGGTGATCTTTAAGCTGAACGTTGAAGAGGAGGGATCTGCCAGCGGAGAAAGCAGAGCCACTCCAGGCAGGAAGATCAGCATATGCAAAGGCCTGAGTGACCAATGGTGGCCTGAGACTATTGGGGAGGTGGTCTGGTGAGTGGGTGCCCAAGGGTGCATAGGTGAAGGAGAGAGAGAGAGAAGTGAAGCTAGAGAGAGGGTGGGGCAGGCTCATGGTGGAACCTCCTATGCATGGCTGAGGTTTGGGTTTTCACCTCTGGGCTAGTGGGACCCCCAGATGGCTTATGAGAAGAGGAGGGTGGCCTCATGTGTTTCTGATTTGTTTAGATCTGCTTGATGTCTGTGCTAGGAATGGGTGGAGGGGCCGGCAGTCTAGAGGCTGCAGGGGAGGAACCAGGCAGCAGCCAAAGGAAGTCGTCGACCCCCCACCCTCACCCCCACCCCCAAGGGGCTCTGCACGGGTCAGCAGCCCCACGGCTGTGGCAGCGGCCAAATGGACCTGCGTGCTGTGCCTCCGCTCCTCGTCGGCTGCGCTCCCAGACGGGCCGAAATGCTTTGACATGGCCTCCTCTCCAGGCTCTTCCACTCTTTCTGCTGATTGTTTCCCAGCCTCCTTTAAATCCTGCCCCTAAATGCTCCCTTGCAGGAGAGGCTTGACAGAATTAACTCCCAGCCCTCTGGATTCTGGCTTATTCTTTATTTTGTCCCAATCAGGCACATAGTAAAGCTTACAAATATGTCTTGAAGGCATCATTGCTGCTTCTTTTTCCCCATTCTCAACTCTGTAGTGACTCGTATGGGCCCTGTCTTATTTCTCTGCTAGAGGGCCTCTGTTTGGGTATTCTGTTTGCATGGGTCCCACCTCCTCCATCAGACTAGCAGTGCCCAAGATCAAGGATCTGCCTCCGTCTTTAGATGGGTAGCTTCCAAGATTCAGATTTTTCTTCTCTGTTAAATTGGGTGCTCCCCAGGGCAGGGGGCTGTGTCTGCCCCTCAGTCTGGGAGCCCTCTGAAGACAGGGCTTTGTTTGGGGCTGCCTTATCTGTTGCTCCTTCACGTCCTGAGTTGAGCTCTACCTTGGATGTGCTCTGGGGCGGGGGTGAGGTAGCAGGGAGCGGAACTCAGGGCTCTAGGAAAAACCCCCTGTCCTGTCCTGGGGATGGCAGAGTGGACCACAGGTATAGCAGGCATGGATTTAGCTGGAGCAGAGCTGTTGGGGATGTAGCTAGGGTGCAGGTACTGAGCTCTCCAGGGCCAACAGCATCCAAGGGGCTCCCAGGCCTAAACCAGCTCTTCTGGGCTATGGTCTGGGAGGACCATGAATTCTCTATCCAGACATCTGGATGGAGAAGGTGCAGAGGGTGGTTGCTAGCATCCTGTTTCCTCACCCTCCTGTGGGCTCTGTCTTGGATAATGACAGGAGGACAACCACAGCTACTATATGTCTCGTCTGTATGGCCCCAGCGAGCCCCGCAGCCAGGAGCTGTGGGTAGATGTGACCAAGGCCAACCAGAGCCAAGTGAAAGTTCACAGAATCCTCTCCAACACCCACCGGCAGGCTTCGGTGAGTGCCCCAGTCCCTGGCAGCACTACCTTGGGCTGGGAGGCTGGGGGCCAGCCCACTCTGCCTGGTCAGTGGGCATGGCTATGGCCTGAGGTCTGGGGTCTGGGGAGTGCCTTCCCAGGGGATCCTAGGGGGCTTGACCAGAGTTGGGGTGCCCACCTGTGGTCCTGCCCTGGACATGCCTACCCCCCACCCCATCCAGATAAGCATGGGGCCGTGTGACTGCCCAGCCACCTGGCCTGCAGCTTGGCCCCACTGACTCTCTCCCGTCCCCTGCAGAGAGTGGTCTTGTCCTTTGATTTCCCTTTCTACGGGCATCCTCTGCGGCAGATCACCATAGCAACCGGAGGTAAGGCCTTGTCTGTGGGGCTGGGAGAGGGTATGGAGATTTCAGCCAGAACCTGGGACCTAGCTGGGAAGGTTCACGGGAGACAGGGTTTTATAGATGGACTGGGGTGGGTCCCACATTGTGGCTCTCTCTTGGGGCCCCACTCTCAGGTGAGAGGTCATGAGTGTTTCGGACCACCTCCCTCACGTCTGCTGACTTAATTGTGTGTGTGTGTGTGTGTGTGTGTGTGTGTGTGTGTGTGTGTGTGGCTGTGTGTTCTCCCTCTGGTGTAGCACAGGCCAATGTAGGCTGTCCCTCGGCCCTTGTGCTTCTGAGTCTGTGAATGACAGGGAGGAGACTGCACTGAGAGCCTGTCTCCTGGAACCAGGCTCCCTGTTGATATGAGGGAGCCCATCTTGGATTCCTGTGCACTTCCAAGGGACAGAGATGGGTGGAGGGGCAGAGAGAAACTTCTTTAGTCTGGGCTCCTTTTGCTCTATATACACCAGACCCATGCCCACCATGTGATGCTAGGGGGTCAGAGATCCAAGACTCACTTCCAGCTCCATCTGCACTACTCCTTCCTGCACGAGGAAGCAAGTCCATCTCTGATGATTCATCTACACTTCTTCCCACCCCAGGCTTCATCTTCATGGGTGACGTGGTCCATCGGATGCTCACAGCTACTCAGTACGTGGCCCCTCTGATGGCCAACTTCAACCCTGGCTACTCTGACAACTCCACAGTTGCTTATTTTGACAATGGTGAGATCAGAGCTCAGAGTTTAATTCATCCAGCTCTGGGGATGCCTTGGTCTAGCCCCTTGAGAGGCGCCCAAGGCCCAGAGAGGGCAAGGGACTTGCCCACAGTCACACAGCATGGCAGCTACCCTACCTTTGTATTCATTTTCCTCCCTGGGGACAAAATGCCTGCTCCCTGATGAGAAAATCAAATGAAAACAATTGGCTCTCAGTAGAGGTGAAATAAATATTAGAGACCTTGATTGTTTCTTACTCTCCCCAGGTTGTCCCTTGAGAACCTACCTTCCACCCCAGGAGAACAGAAGTTTCTACTGTTTCTCTTCTTTTTCATCTCAGGGGGTCAGGATAGGCAAGAAGGACACGGCAGTGCTTGGGGTTGGAGATGGTACAGGTACAATCACAGTACCTGGTTGGAGGCAGGGAGGGTGAAGCAGGGTCTCCTGGCTCCTCTCCAGCTTGAGAGCCAGACTGTTTGTGGGCTGCCCAGCTCCTACCTCCTGTCCAATTTGCAAACTGACCCCATCATCGCTAAGGACACCAGCTGGTGTCCCATCCACATGGGCCACTATTTCTGCAGGCCCCTGCTCCCCACACGACCTCCCTGTCCAGCCAAGTCTCCGCTCTCCTCACCAGGGACAGTCTTTGTTGTTCAGTGGGACCACGTCTACCTCCAGGGTCGGGAGGACAGGGGCAGCTTCACCTTCCAGGCAGCTCTGCACCAAGACGGCCGCATTGTCTTTGGCTACAAAGAGGTGAGTGGGCCGTTCTTTCATTCAACAAATATGTCGAGACCCTGTAGTGGGCCAGATGTAGGGTGTGGTGCTGGAGATACAGACGTTCACAGGATGGCTGCCGGCCCATCTTTGTGGAGCTGAGAATCTGGCTGGGGGAATAGATAGTAACTGTGGGGGGTGGGGCAAGTGTTCTTACATTGTGATGCCAGGAAATTTCACGGGGATCTTTACCTGAATAGGAGCCTGGGAGGCTCTCCTGAGGAAAAGAGTTGAAAATCTTCAGAACGTGTAGGAGTTAAGGAAGCAAAGAGGAGGGTGAAGTGTGTTCTGGGAGGGAGCAAAGCATACACAAAGGCTCTGTGGCAGGACTGAGCCTGGCTGGTATAAAGCACTCAGAGAAGGCGGCCTAGGGATTTCCCTGGCAGTCCAGTGGTTAAGTGCAGGTGGTGTGGGTTCCATCTCTGGTTGGGGAGCTAAGATCCTACATATCTCCCNGCTGCCTATATTGTTTTGCACAACCTATCATTGCTTGAATCTTTGCCTTCAAGTCTCAAAGGCTGGCTTGGTCATAGCATTCTGTTTGCCCTTAGAGTTTATTCATTCATCTACTAAATTAGCCCCCTCCCATTATATCTTGGATACCTGTTGTGGGTTTGAACTTGAAAACAATTCTTGGCAATGATCTGAGCAACTAATTCCTAGTATTTCCAGCCTAATTAAATCTTCCCTTCTCCAAGTAGACAAGGCAATTTTACTAAAGCACAGATAAGTAAAAAACTTAAAATGAGAGTTTCCATAAAAATTTTAACTCTCCCAACGTAAAAAAAAAAAAAAAAAAATCTTGAAAAACACCACTCTGGCTTGAAAGTGGAGAGCAGAGGGCTGGGACTCAGAGGAGATGCTGGGAGATGATGCAGGAGAATGGGCCAGCTTGGAGTAGGATGGGGGTGATGGAGAGAACTGGATCGATTTGAGAGCCTGTTAGCAGGCTAGTCAACAGGATTGGAGATGTGTTTGACAGAGGAGGAGGGAAATGAAAGGAAGCCGGGAGAGGCTGAGGGTGACTCCTCCATGGAGGTGCCATTCACAAAGAGGAAGAAAAGAAACAGGAAATGTGTTTGGAGATGATGTGGGGAAGATTTGGAGTTTGGATGGGCACGTTGGGTTTGAGATGTCTGAGCCCTGCAGGAGGCAGTGCCCACCAGCAGATGGGTCTGAAGCTCCAAGGAGAGCTGGTCCAAGAGTGTTTGGGGGGTAGACGGAGCCTCTTCTTCCCCCTGCAGATCCCTATACCCGTCCTGGAAATCAGCTCGTCCCAGCACCCTGTCAAAGCAGGCCTGTCAGATGCCTTCATGATTCTCAATCCATCCCCTGATGTACCAGGTGAGACCCCAGGGGCCCACAGAGATCCCTGGACGGGGCTGGACTCAGCTCAGATTGAGCCAGGCTGGTGGGGGAGAGGACAGTGGCAGGAAGTGGCTGGGGGGTGGGGAGAGTTAAGTGGGAACTGAGGGAAGAAAAGGGGCAGAATGACTTCCAACTTCTCTTCGTTCGAGCTGAGGAACCATTTTTCCAATAAAATCTCCAGTGGGAGGCTCTGCTCTGGTGGTGGAGGGGAGTGGGGAGCCAGGGCCCTTCCACTCAGCATACCCTCCACTTAGAAAATCTCCAAAGACACCAAATTAGGGTTTATTAGTCCTCCCAGAACACAACCATAATTGCCTCCCAAACCCAGATGATAGAAGGAGCATCGCAGGGGGCTTCAGGAGGCAGGAAAATTAGATTTCTCTCCTGTCCCTGATCCCTGTCCCCCAATTCCCCTTCCTGGAGGCAACCAGAGCCACCAGGATATTTCTAGAGCTACAAGCCTTCAGGTACGTATACATAAGTATATTTAACATAAACAATGGCATATGATGTCCTCTGTTCTGCTCCTGAACAAAGTATATCCTGCCCATCTTTCTGGATCACTCTTTTTAATAACTGTACACCCCTTGCATGGATGCACCTTAATTGAACCAGTCCCCTGGGCCCAGACTTTTCAGTTGTTTCAATCTTTGATTACAACAAATAATACTGCAGTGAATATTCTTGCAAATAGATACTTTTATGCTCTTGTGTGAGTATTTCCATAAGATTAATTGCCATCACTTCACCTGTCCCTCCGCTGTCCCCTCTCCCACCCCCAAACTTCCAGCACTCTAGGGAGTAGCTCAGACCCTGCTAATTCGTTGGTTAAAACCCATACTGAGCGAGTTACTAAAGAGTTTCAGTATCACCCTGATTGTATTAGTTAGCTACTGCTGCATAACAGACTTCCCTTGTGGCTCAGACTGTAAAGCGTCTGCCTACAATGCAGGAGACCCGGGTTCAATCCCTGGGTTGGATTGTGACAAAACTTAGAGGCTTAAAACCTTATCTCAGAGTTTCTGTGGATCAGGAAGCAAAGCATGACTTAACTGGGTCCTCTGGTTTAGGCTCTTTCACAGGCTGCTCTCAAGGTGGTTGCTAGGGTTGCCTCGGTGACTGTTGGGGGGCCATCTAAGAGCTTTCATGTGGTTGTGACAAGATCAGTTCCCCCTTCAGTTCTGGCCGCGTGAACCTCCCCATAGCACAGTTCATATGTGGCAGCTGGCTTCCATCAGAGCAGGCAAGGAAGACAGCAGTAGAGGGTGAGCAAGAGGGAAGCCAGAGCCTTCTCATAACTTCATCACTTTTGCCACTTTCTGCTGGGTGGAAGGAAGTTCCTAGGTCCAGCCCACACTCAAGATGGGATTAAACAGGGTGTGAATCCCAGGAGGCAGGGATCACTGGGGCCATTTAGGGGCACACTGATTACAACCTCATCCCTAGATTCTGAGCTTACAGTTATCTTACTGGATTATCCTGCAGCACTGTAAATGAAGTCTGTGCATTTGTCTCTTTCTAAACGAAGACAAGGAGCCTCAGAGAGATGGCGTGACACAGCTCTGAGGGTTAGAACTGAAACCCAAATCTTCTGTATTTTAAACCCTAGTGTCCACCGTTGAGGCTTTCCAAATCCAACCAACTCCCACTCCATCCAGAGTGGGGAATTCTTCCCTCCTCAGTTCCCTAAACACCCAGAGCACTGTGTGCACACACCCAGGCTGTTTTACAGGAAGAGCTGTTCTTGGTATCCATGCCTCCCTGCGCCTCACCACCGCCCTGTTTTACGCACCTCGGGGGTGGGGTCTGTGCCTCCCTCACAGGCCCTGTGCCCAGTGGCAGAGTCTCAGGAAATGTGTGTTGATCCAGCTGTAGAATGAGGGTGAGTGAGAGGAAGTCAGATCCCCCAAGAGTGTCTGCCTCTGAGGCTCCTCTGTGGTTCTAGAATGAAAGGCTGTTTTAGAGCAAGCCAGGGAGACGTGGGGAGGTGTGGTAATGAGGGGCGAGGGAGGAAGCAGAACCCACCTGAAATAACAGGAGGGCGGCTGTGCCTGTTCTGTGAGACCTGGAGGCGATACAAGGGCTGTTGTGGGAGCGGCTAGATCAGGTGACTCCAGCTGTGGTTCATGAGGCGCTGAGTCCACCAGTCAAGGGAAACCCACGCTGACTCTAGACGCTGCCCAGCAGCTTCCGGCCTCCAGGCTCCCGGCCGCCTGTCCACCTACTCCTTGTTGTCACTGCCGAACAGAGCTGATCTTGTCCTTCCCTGGTTCCTTATGGCCCAAAGCACTAATTCAGAGTTCTTAGTGTGGCACTTGGGGCCTACACAGCTGGGCATAGCCTACTGTTTTATTTTTCTTTCAGTGTTATTGAGTCATATCCAACTCTTTGTGACCCTATGGACTGGAGCCCTCCAGGCACCTCTGTCCATGGGGATTTTCCAGGCAAGAATATTGGAGTTGGTTGCCATGCCTTTCTCCAGGGGATCTTCCCAACCCATGGGTTGAACCCAGATCTCCCGCATTGCAGGTGGAATCTTCACCATCTGAGCCACCAGGGAAGCCATATAGCACTGTGTAACTTTCAGGAGTTATAGCATAAGGATCTGACTTACATATATCGTGAAATGATTACAGTAAGTTTAGTCAACATCTCCATCTCATGAAAATGCAAAATTAAAGAAAAAAACTTGATTTTTTCCTTGTGATGAAAACTCTTAGGATTTATTCTTTTAATAACTTTCATAGATAACATACAACAGTGTTAATTATATTTTCTCACATGTGTTATGGGCACAGCCTACCTTTACGGGCTGGCCTCTGAACCCTCCTGTCAACCACTACTCTATCCAGTCAGCACTGGTCTGCATGCCCTGTGTTCCCCAAACATGCCAAGGGGGAATCTGCATCTTTCTGATGCAGTTCCTCATGTAAAATGCCACCCCCCACCCTTTTACCACTTGGCAAAATCCTGCTTATTCATTGGTCCAGCTTCCTCCATGCAGCAAAATTCATGGCTTCCTCCTCCATCCTCTGGGTACTTTCTTAAGAGCTTTAATATAGAACTCATGACACCATCCTGCCTCATTCCTCTTCTCCCCAACTAGCTGTGAGCTCCCTGGGGCTCCAGCACTTAGCCCAGTGCCTGCAGCAGGGCAGGTGCTCAAAAAATGGGCTCCAGAACGGGTGCTGAAGAGACTGGGTGTGCTAGAGACCGTGTGCTCTGCCCTCTGGTGACCCCAAGTCAGAACAGAACCTGACATCTGAGTTTAGGGGTGAGTGCTCTGATAACTGCATCTCTTTCTGTCAGAGACTTTTCGGCTTGGGGATCAGGCGCGGACTTGAAAGGAACACTGAGGTGTGGTTGAAGTAGATCATGTGTATGCCTTTTTCTAGGGCAGTATCCCTGGCCTTCATTGGATTTTAAAATAGGCTACAACTCCTGCTTTTCAGAGTGATGGCTTTTATGTGGCTGAGAGATCAGATTCCTCTGGGTCTGATAGTCAACTCAGCAAATAGGGAATTTATTTGAATTTGGTTGAGATGCAAATATTGGGTTGGCCAAGAAGTTCGTTTGCGTTTTTTCCATAAGATGTTATATGGAAAATGGACTTCTTGGCCAACCCAATAACAATACATTTCAAAAAACCATGATAGAAGTTCAGGGAGAGGCCTTTGGTCCACAGACAATGTCACTGTGATCGTCACTGTGGATATTCCTGTTGTCCCAACCCACCTGTCCTATAGAATAGGTGATATCCCTGCCCTGGCACCCAAGCTTGCCTCCTCCCTGCCTGGGGTGCTGTGAGGAGTGGCATTTACTCCTCACTATTCAAGAATCCCCCAGCCACTGAACCATGTCTTGGAGACTCTCTCCCTACCCCAGGCTCCCAACACTTTCCTCCCACCCCTGTCTGAAGGTGGAGGGAATTCTGCACAGTCTCATTCCTGGGATTGAGGGAGGAAAACAGGCAGAGTTTCTCTTACCATCACTTCCTTGCAGAAACTGCTCTGCAGGCTTTGGAGCAGAGAGTCTGCAGAATGTGCTTTGTTGCAGAGAAAAGATTCAGATTAGTAGCGTCTGTTTGCAGAAGCAGGCAAAACATACAGAGTAGTTGATACACTCTTTATTTGACTGGAGGGAGGTCCAGAAGTCAATATAATTTCCTCTATTCATTTAAGAAACCCTTTCTGTCACGGACAGTATAAAAGCAACTTTAGGGTCTCCAATATCAAAACTGACAGATTCTGAATTAATGGAATCAATTAATGAGGATTTCCTTATTAAAAGCTCCAAATGGCAACCTGCCCCTTGGCTGGCCCCAGAATGGCCTTGGATGGCCCAAGCACTAGAACCTTCTCCTGTTCCAGAACCTTCCTTTCGTTTCAAAGGCAAACTTGAGAAATGTGGCAGAGGCCCGAGCTGCACCTTGGTGCTGGGTGGGGAGGGGAGGCCCCGGAACTGACAGCAGAGGAGTGAGAAGGCCCAGCCAAGTAAGGGCATGGGAGCGGGTATCGTCACCGTATCTGGCCCATTTCGTCATCTCTCTGCTCCTGATGAAGGATCCTCCATGGTACCGTTTGTTGGAGCTTTTTATCCATCCCGGTGCCCTCCCTCAAGCCCGCCCCCATGACCCTGATTTTTACTTTTATTTTCTGTTTTTCCTTCTACTCTGCTCCCTGAGCGTTGCCTTTTCTTGTCTCCTCTCCTCTCTCAGTCCCTTTTCTACTGTACATCTGTGCAGAGGGGCCTCCCCCGCTGGGCTGCAGGCTCCTTGGGATATAGGATTCTCACTGTGTTTATCTCTGGGGTCCCCTACTGAGGCTAAGTCATGATTATTAAATGGATAACTGAATGAGCAGAGGCAGATGTGAATGAGTAAATGCAGAATTCCTGCTGATCCACCATCTTCCATTTTTTTGTATGGTAGCCACCATCTCGGAGGGAAGTTTTGTGGCTGGATCTGTCAGTCTGATTTCTTCTGACCAAACTAACCCTCACCCACTGGTGTCTGGTGTGCAAACAAAACGGGACATGCCAAGCTCTCCTTTGAGCCACGGACATCTCTTGATTGCATGGCAGGGCTCTCTGGGTCTGGATCTTAGCATTTCTGAATGTTTGATGAGTGGAAGCAGAGATAACACAGAAGGTCTCAAACTGCCCGGAATGCGGCTCTGGGGCGGCCACCATCTCGGTTCCGGGAGGGATCTGTTGGTTATGCAGACGGACGTCATCATCTTTGGGCGAGCCCCAGATGTTGGCAAGATAATCCAAATGCAAGTAACACAGACTGGGATACTAAGGGTTCTGTTTATTGAGAAATAAAAGTCTTACCAAATCAGATACTTAAACAAGTACAAGTTGGCCGCTGAAGTGAGCAAATATTTTTAGTCAGAGATATGTTTCCATCCACCCACCCTCCTCCCCCTTCTTACCACACACATCTCCCCTTCCCTGCTGGTGGGGCTGTGCTAGGTTTTGGAGGATATATCCCATTATCTCTGGCTGCAACCTCACTTGAGGCACATACCCACTCCCCAGCTGGCTGGTGGGGAGACCCATCCCTAGATTCTGGGGTAAGGTTTACTGGGAGCCCCACCTTCCCCAGCTGCTGCTTGCTCCTCTCTATCCCTAAAATCGACTCTCTTGACAAGTTCATGCATCTCTCTTCATGCCTCAACACTGACCCCTTTGTCCTCCTATTTCACCTTCCTTCTAACCGAGGTTTGATTCCTGGGTCGGGAAAATCCACTGGAGAAGGATAGGCTACCCACTCCAGTATTCTTGGGCTTCCCTTGTGGCTCAGCTGTTAAAGAATCCCCCTGCAATGTGGGAGACCTGGGTTTGATCCCTGGGTTGGAAAGACCCCCTGGAGAAGCGAAAGGCTACGCACTCCAGTGTTCTGGCCTGGAGAATTCTATGGACTGTATAGTCCATGGGGTCACAGATAGTCGGACACAACTGAGCAACTTTCACTTTCACTTTCACTTTTCTAACTGAGAGCCAGCCCTCCCCTACAGCGTTGTAGATAGAGACACCCTGGAAGCCAATTCTCCTCCTGCTTTAAGCTCTAAACTTTGGAAGGGTCTGGCTTTCTGTGGCCCATTGGGGGCAGCCCTTTTGAGAAAGGCCGTACTCTATAGTGGGCTGGGGAGGAAAGGCATTCTTCCTTTGTGCCGTGGGCTGAAGTTATGATAAATTACTAGGGTTTTCCTGACTATTTATAAGCCATTCATTCATTCACAGTCCTTTCTCAAGACCCCGTTGTATGCCAGGCCTGGCGCAAGGGGCTGGGGGACAGAGACGTATAACTTGCAGGCTCTGCCCTTGGGGAGCTCACAGTCTCAGGGGGTGGGTGGCCAGCAGAGTAAATGTTTGTGAAGCGGGTGACACTGGATGGGGCACGGGGGGCTGTGGAGCTCAGAGGAGGGGCCCCTAACTGCACCCCAGCTTGGGGGATGTCTTCAAGGAGGACTTGTCATTTGAGTTGAGCCTTGACAGAAGAGACAGATTAAGGAATAAATGTTTACACAGAGTCTAGACTCCGGGGCCTCAGGCATCTTGGAAGACCTGGAGTTTCACATTTACTTTTAACCCAATCCAATTTGGGAGTGAAAGGGGGGAATTTTTTAGGAGAGTTGGCCCCTGGGGGTGGTGGGTGGGATGGAGCTGCGAAAGGCTGCCTGGAAGTTCCCCATCCTCCTAAGATCTCACATGGCCCGGGCTCAGTCGAAGCCCAGGTCACCTTTGCAGAGAAGTTGGTGTCACACAGAGAGGGCCCTACCACACCTGTGGACTGTTGGGTGAATTGAAAATTGGAGCCTCTTTTGAGCAGATAATCTCTCACCTCAATCTCTTTCAGACCCACCCCAGCTTGGCAAGGGGCCTTGCTTATATCAAAAAAGTCTGTGTGTGTGTGTGTGTGTGTGTGTGCACATGCAGGTGCTCACACACACATGTGACTGTGTGTGTATGTGTCTGTGTGTGTGTGCAGGTGCTCACATGTGCACATGTGTGTGGGTGGTACTCACATTTCAAGTGCAGACCTTTGAGGTGGGGCTGCAGATTCCTCTTTAGTCCAGGGGAGCTCTGTGGCCCCCGGCGCCAGAGCAGTTTCCTTTGTGTTGCACAGAATGTCTCAAGGACATTCTGTGGTTGCAGACGTTTCAGGGACAGAGGTGTCCCCAGGCTCTGCTGCAGAGAAGAGAGAACAGTAGGACGAGAGCATGCTTTGGGGTCATCACCTGGGGTTCAATCCTGGCTTAAGCAGGAGGGAACAGTTCTAAGACTGAGGAGGTGGTAGCTGCTCAGTCGTGCCTGACTCTTTGTGACCCCAAGGACTGTAGCCCACCAAGCACCTCTGTCCATGGAATTCTCCAGACGTGGTTTGCCATTCCCTTCTCCAGGGGATCTTCCCGACCCAGGGATCGAACCCAGGGTCTCCTGCATTGCAAGTCAATTCTTTACTGTTTGAGCCAAACTATAGATTGAGGATAAATAGATGATAGAAACATAACTGAAACGTTCTTTTGAGCAGTATATGCTGCCCTAAATTCTTTATTCAGGTCGGGGTGCCCAGTGGCTGCCCAGGACACCCTCCTTTTCGTGGATGCCCCTACTGAGTTCTGCCACCTCAGGAAACTTTCCTCAAAATCACCTCAGCTGGAAGGAAACTTATATCCTCACCTATTCTGGGCTTCTAGTGACAAAAAACCAGCTGAAACAAGTTAGCTGGAAAGGGGTGTGTTGGGAATACTGAAGGAGCCCAAAGAACCAAAAGAAGAGCCAACACCTGGGAGCAGAGGACCAGGGCAGGTCTGGGGACTCCAGGGACTGGGATGCCACCGGTACTCCGTGCTTCTTTCCACAAGGCGGCTTCATCCTCTAACTTTCCCTGTGAGACTGGAGCTGTGGCCATTCATGGACACTGAGCTTGCATCTTCTCAGCATTGTTACTAGAGCGCAAAGGGCAGCCTGGTTACAATTAAAAAGTCCCAGGGAAAGTCTCTGATTGGTCCAACTTCATCAGATGCCCAACCCTGGACCAATCTCTGTTGGCCAAGGAGGCAGAGTCGTGAAAGAAGATACAGTACAGACCACATGTAGGAAGGGGCTGGGGTCAGTTCCTTCTGTTTCCAGAAGGTAGAAGGGGTCCTGGGTAGGCGAAATACTAAGTGGGAAATACTGTGTTCTTTCCCCTCGTGGAAAAATTCATTCATGAAACTCAGCTGCTTGCAGCCTGTCTTTTGGAGCTGAAGGAAACCAATTGCAAGTCATGGTTCTTCGGTGGGCCTGGGGGAAATATCAGAGCATCTCAGACTGCCATTTTAGGAAAAGTCTTTCTACAATTCCAGCTTTTTACTCGCAAGGGTGTTGGGGCAGATGTTAATGTTTTTCCACTTCACAGACAAGAAACTGAGGCCCTAAGGGTATCCAACTTGTCAGGAGCAGAACTCAACTCAGAATTCAGGTCTTTTGACTCTGAGGTCCGTTAGGAAGTTTCTGCAGGGACTGAGGCAGAATGTCAACCTGGTTCTGGCCCTTGAACCATTGAGGAAGGGAGAGGATCTCCAAGGTCAGCCTGTCCATCTGCAAACATTCGCAGAGCACTCAACTGTGGGTCAGGTTCAGGACCAGATGATCACAGTTGAGTGCTCCCCACCCTCCAAATTGACCATCATGACCACATAATGCAAGGAGTGCAGTGGGAAGAGGGCCTGGGGCAAAGGGGGTAATAGGAGGGAGCTGGTCAAGGGGGGCTGCTCAGAGGAAGAGGCCCTGAGCTAGATCTGAAAGAGTGAGCTAGACAAGAAGAGAAAGGGTGGAACAGTGTGATGGGTCAGGGGGACAGCAGCTTTGAAGGCACAAAGGGTGGACTCCTGTGTTCTGGCCCCAGCAACAGCTGGGCCGCTGCATTGTCAACCTGCTTATGACATAGAGCTCGCTGCTCAAAGTCAACTCCCATCCTCCTGTCTCTCCACAGTTTCAACATCATCATCCCGGGATGATGGTTTTACTTCCTGCTCTCAGGGACTGCATACTGACTCCCGGTTCCTCTCACTACAGTCTCCTCTCCCCCCTGTCAGGCTCCAGGTCCCAAAGCCTGTGAAGTGCTCCCGATGACAGGCTCTGCCTCTGTTTCAGAATCTCGGAGGAGGACCATCTTTGAATACCACCGTGTGGAGCTGGACCCCAGCAAGGTCACCAGCACATCTGCCGTGGAGTTCACCCCATTGCCAAGTAAGTAGGGCTTGTCCCCGCTGATGGAAGAGAGGCAAGCCGCCATCCTGGCAAGAGCACTGAAGTCAGACTGAGTTCCATCTCAGGCTCACCAGGGTCACCTGTCTCGATACAGCCACGTGACTTCTCTGGGCCTCCATTTCTCATTTGTAACATGGGCCTCACACTGCCTCCTTCCCAGGGCTATGGTACGGGTGAGAACCGCACTAGGTAGAGCTGAGGATGCAAATGAAAGTCCAGACACTAACTGGCACATCCCAGGCCCAGGGCATGGCTTGTGCTTGGTATATGCCAGCTGCTGGTATTAACAGGCTTCCCCGGTGGCTCAGAGATAAAGAGTCAGCCTGCAGTCCAGGAGCTGCAGGAGACACAGGATTGATCCCTGGGTCTGGAAGATCTCCTGGAGGAGGGCATGGCAACTCATTCTAGTATTCTTCCCTGGAGAATCCCATGGACAGAGGAGCCTGGTGGGCTACAGTCCATGGGGTCGCAAAGGGTCAGATACGACTGAAGCGACTTAGCACGCAGGCGCTGTTATTAACATGTAATTGTAACCCAGGAAAGAGATACCTCTGATAACTTGGATTGAGCACATAGAAAAGATAATACAGGAACTGAATGGAACCATAAGTTTATCACTGCATTTTCTTTAGAGGAGGTGTGATGCTGGCATCCACAGGCAGAAGGCAGTGTCGGGATTTAGCCAGCAGCCCTCCAGGATCCAGGGGGCTGGGTCCTGTCACTCTTCTGCACCTCGCTCACCTGCTGTTGAAGGCACGCCATGGTGGAGGCCCCCTGCTGCTGCTTCGGAACCTGAGGGATCCAGTCAGGGCAGATTGGGAGAGTGAGGGAAGGACAGAGCTTCCTGTTCATATATATATATATATATTTATTTATTTATATAAACTGCACCAGGTCTTTTATGTGACTCATGAGCTTCAGTAGTTATGGCATATGTGTTTAGTTGTGGCATGTGGGATCTAGTTCCCTGACCAGGGATTGAACCCAGGTCCCCTGCATTGGCAGCATGGAGTCTTAACCACTGGACCACAAGAGAAGTTGCCACCCGCCACCCCCCNCCCCCCCCCCCCATGCTTATATTTCTAAAGACAGGTTTAATTTCCTCTCCTGTTTCATGATACCTCCCAGCTTCCCTCTGGAGCCATGGCTTTCTCCCTGCCTTCTGGGATGGTTCTTGCCTCCCTCCTCTTCCTTTTCCGTGGAGGTTTTGGGAGCAGGGGGTGAAGAAAGAAGAGGAGGAGAAAGGGTCTTCTCAATGTTAGGCCATGTCCCAGCAGGTGTCCTCCTCTGATGCCTAGGGACAGGGCTGGGACCCCTGGGGTCCCAGCCTCACCCCCATCCCAGTCGCCCTCCCTCTGGGCAGAGCTTCCTCTAGGACTGGTGAGAGCAAACCTCGAGTCCCAGGAATGACTAAACTACATTTGGGAGCAAGGACATCCAAGGGCAGGGCTAATCAGCCAGGCAGAAGTAGTGAAATATCCTGGGAGTGCGTTTCTGGGACACGTCTGTACATTTAAGCCTCTTCCCACCCCTCCAGTGAATTTTGTGAGCATTTAATAGCACACAGGACATCTGAAATGCAGATGAAAGTAAAGGTCAGTGGGTTTTTTTAATGTCTCATGAGGCTCCTAGAGATTTTTCTCAGTTTGACTGGAGCCGTTTAAGGAGCCTCCAGAATCATTGGGAATGACCAGGTCACGGGCTCCCATGTCCAGGAGGGAATTGCTACCAAAGCTGTGTTTTAAACTCCTGAAAGCTGGTTTGCCTTGTTCTCAGAAAACTCTGCACCCCACAGCCCCAGGTTTTCTCCCTTACCTTTGGGGGTGGGGGGAACTTAACCAAAATTCTTCCAGAGGTGTGGCTCTTTAAGCCATTACACTCCATGGACAGTCCTTCTTCTAGAAGAGACTCCTGAAAAGGTGGCCTGGCGTAAAGGTGGAAGCTGGGGAAGAGGGTCTCCCAGGGGGACCTCAAGGCTAGGAGCTCAGGTTCTCAGCTTAGACAGATCTTGGTTCAAACCCAGATCTGCCTCTCTTAGCTCAGTGACTCTCTCCAAGCCTCGGGTTCCTCCTCTATAAAATGGGGATGAGAGCAACTCTATATCGATTCCATAAACTTTTGTTAACTGCCTACCACCTGCTGGGCACTGCTGTAGACCCTTGGGGTACACCAGAGAAGAAAATAGCCAGAGCGCTGTCATTCTGGGGTCAGGCCAGTCCCTGCTTATTTTCTGCCTGCCGTGTTCCCTCCACCCTTGCAAAGCCTGCAAAGCCCTGGTAGATGAAAGGACACACTGCCCCCTGCAGCCAGTCCCTCCCAGAAGGCAACTGAAGGTGACCACGCTGTGCCCGAAGAAGCTTTTCTTCCCCTCACCGAGGGCTGGTTCCCAGATGCTGCCTTGCTGGGGGTCCACTGAATGCAGACTGGTTCCCTAATTAATGGATTGTGGTCCAGGCCCATGAAAACCCGCAGAGTAAAGAAATTCCTGTTGAGTAAGTGGTCATTTTCTGTGGTTAGCCGTCACTTCTTGCTGCTACCAATGTGTTCTGTTCAGCTGCTCATCAGATGAGTCCTCAGGCTGCATACAGTTATTCTGGGTCAGTGCCTGTCTGTCCTTATAATAAAATGCATGGATTTTGTGGCAGCTGCTTGCCACTCCATGGTTATTTTTAAGTGGGCAGCATTTGAGTGAGTGAATGACTCTTAAAATCCAGCTCCCATCCTTCCTGCTCCCCTGGCCCTCTCTGCTTTTCTGGCTGGCTGATGACAGAAGGGATCCACACACCCTCCAGCAGTCACTTCCACTAACTTCCCTGCTTTCTCCCCTGCCTTGCCCAGCGAGGCCCCAGCTGCCTTTCCTCCCCATTCCTACCACCTTCCACCTCTCCACCCTGCAGAGTGCCACCCGCTGTTGGGAGCACCCTGGAACCTACTCCTCCTGGGCCTCTGCACAGAGGGGTCCCTCTGCTTGGACTTCTCCCCCAGGAGAGTTGCCTGCTGGCTTCCCTTCTCTACATCTCCTCAGAGGCCTTCCCCAGCCTCCCTGAGTAAAACACACCCCCCACGTGTTCTACTCCCCTTTTCTCCTAGCCCTTCTCACCACTGGAAGCCCCAGTGGAATGTGTTAGTCGCTCAGTCGTGTCCCCATGGACTATAGCCCATCAGGCTCCTCTGTCCATGGACTTCTCCAGGCAAAACTACTGGAGCGTGTTGCCATTCCCTTCTCCAGGGGATCCTCCCGACCCAAGAATCAAATCTGGGTCTCCTGTATTGCAGGCAGTTTCTTTACCGTCTGAGCCAGCAGGGAAGCCCAGGCGGAGCCCTAGCGTGGATCTTCTCGTCTGTATATTTGTTGACCATCTCCTCCATTTGCTTGCAGGCTCCCTGCAGGCAGTACTTCTGGCTTTTCCTGTTCACACTGCATCTCCAGGGGCAGTACTGGGCCCTTGATAGATGCTCAATAAATATTTGTTGAAAGAATGAATGAATGAATGAGCACCTGAGAGCAATGATGGACCAGAGTCGATAACAAGTGTCATTCACTGGCTCCCCATGTGGCCAACACTGTTAGAAACCCTCTCATAGCTGGCCTACCACACAGACAGCATCCTTATCCCTCTATTACAAATGGGGTACTGAGGCACCAAGAGGTCAGGTGACTTTCCAGGGAAGATTTAAGCCCATTTGAGCAGAGGTCAGCACATTCCCTGGGACTAGCTCACTTCCAAGAGGAGAGGGAGAGGAAAGGAATGGAATCCCATATGCCTGGATTACTCTTGAAAACGCAGAGCCCAGACTTCCTTGGGAGGAGGTGGACAGGCCAGGAGTGGGTGTCTAATGGCAATTCTGCCACATGGAGTCATCAGGAGTGGGGAGCGCTAGCTGGTCAAACCAGGACATGTAAAATCCTTTCAAGTGATAGAAGACAGCACAACTGTATTATAAACACTAAATTTGCTTAGAGACTCGATCTTAATTGTTTCCAGCCCTGGAAGAAACGATACTAATGTGGAGTGACGGAGGCGTTAGCGAAGGCTACAATGGTCATCGTACAGCAATATAAATGGATAAAATCAATGGGCTGTACACCTGAAACTTACATGATGTTGTTTGTCAAATATATCTTGATTTAAAAAAAAACCCTTTCAAACCCGGAAAATGGAAGCAACAAGCCAAAAAGCCAAACTCCCAAAACAAACGGGAATCCCTGGAAAACCCTAACAAAACCCGGAAACCTCCCTTGGAAAACAAAACAAAAGGAAAAATAAGGAAAAAATTTTGGTTGAAGAACCGCCTAAGAACCGGCCTCCCCGTGTGACTGTAAGGCCCAGGAAGGCAGGTACCAGGTCTTATTGCTGAATGGCTAGCAGCAGCTCAGGGCTTGATCCGCTGGTGACAAAAGGAAGAAAGGAAGTAGGGAAGTGGGGACAGGCAGGGAGGGAGGAAGGGAGGGTAGAGAGGGAGAGTCGGAGAATCAAGGCTGGACTCAAACGTGTGTTAGTTGCTCATCGTCTCCAACTCTTTGACCCCATCGACTGTAGCCCACCAGGCTCCTCTGTCCATGGGATTCTTCAGGCAAGAATGCTGGAGTGGGTCACCATTTCCTTCTCCAAGAGGTCTTCCCAACCCAGGGATCAAACCTAGATCTCCCACTTCCAGGCAGATTCTTTACCATCTGAGCCACCAGGGAAGGACTCAAGTGAGGGTGGCATTATAAACTTCTAGGGTCCCTGCTGATCAGAGCCTCCGGAGTTCTGTAAGGACCTGGCATTCAGGGAAGTTGCACCTTTTGGAGGTCTGCGGAGGGACTAGTGCTGAGCGACTCCTGCCTTCTTCTCTTTCGCAGCCTGCCTACAGCATCGGAGCTGCGACGCCTGCATGTCCTCAGACCTGACCTTCAACTGCAGCTGGTGCCACGTCCTCCAGAGGTGTGTACAGGCTCACCCTCTGGTGCCCACAGGCAGACTGTGCGGGGGGCAGAGGGTGGCACCACCCTGCTCCCTGCCTCAGGTCTCAGGGCCGACATGAAGGTAACTTTGGCCAGTGCTACTCCGACGCTTAGGACAAGAATATTATGGTAGTGAGTGTCTCCCTGAGGCTTGTGACCCGTCAAGGTGACTATATGTCACCCTGAAGTGACTCTAGACTTTGGAAGACCATTCAGAGATTCCAGCTACTGCAGCTCCCTCCTCACAGCCAGAGGCGTTGGTTCATCCTCTGGCAGGCCTTTTCCAAGAGTGGTCCACAGCTGTGAGCATCCCAGAATCAGCTAGGGCTTGAACTAAATGTGCAGATTCCTGGGGCCCACCCCCGGCCCCCTGCATCAGGGTCTTTCAGAAAGAAGTCAGGGAGCCTGCATTTTTACCTCATTGCCTCATCTGCAAGCAAGTGTGAGACCTGCCAGCTCAGGGGTGAGCCTAAGACCCACCGTCTATGGGCAAGAGCCCCACGATCCCAAAACCCCATCTCAAGACTGTTCTCAGGCTACAACAGGGTTCCCTGAAATCCAAGGGTGTGGACATTGCAGGCATCTGTGGAAAGCTGGGACAAGTTACAAAGCTGTGTTTGTTTGGTTTTGGAAGCAGGGAAAATTCTGGATGAGATTCAGTTTCAGGGATAAAGTTCTTAAATCCTACTCATCTTCTACTCCTTGTTCTGCAACCATTTCCTCACAGATTAGACTCAAAATTTGACCCCTGTTCTCCTGTCCAGGATAAATAAATGGTGGGGGACAGGGGGAATTGGGGGGAGGAAGACTTTCTTGGGGGATTAGAGCTCTCATGAGATTGGGAAGACCTGTGAACTCCAAGAACCTTGGAATCTTGAAACTTGCAAATTACAGAGGCTCTGAGTTCCGTGCAGCTGTCCTGTAACTGTCAGTATTTCCTGTGCTCCTTTCCAATGTCCTGGTGCAGAAATAAAAGGCACTGCCTTTACAGGCGGCCTGCCTAGCACACAAGGCATGGCTCAGGGCCAGGAGGAGAAAGGGGCCTCATCAGGTCTCCCAGCTGTTCTTCCCACCAGCTGTGCGCTTATTCACTCTCTTATGCCCTCAGTTTATTTTCCCTGTAAAATGGGCTGGGGTTATGCCATTCAGGGAGATGTGGGTGAGGAACATGCCTGTTATTTTAACTCCTCAAATACCAGATAGAATTTTTACAAAGTGTTCAGAGTCCTTCACATGAAAGGCACAGAGCCTCAGAGAACACACGGGGGAGACCCGAGATTGCGTCTTCCTGGCATGGGGACTTGCGGTGTGATCCATCTTGTACACTTTCAAGTGTGAGAGACCTATGTGAGTGTGAGGCGATAATCCAGATGACCTCAGATGAGCCCTGGAATGCTGCGTCCAGCTGCCACCATGTGACTCAGCATCGTCCAACAACAGCTGAGCCATGAGGACTGCATAATGGGTCAGACGAAAGCAAAACCCTAGCTTGCAACACCCCCACTTAATGCATATGCCCAAACCCAGAAAACCATGTCAATTTAATGAGAGTTGGTGAGGGGGAGGGCAGGGCCTTGGCTGTAGACATTGTCTTTGCTGGATTATGTCTACTAGAAGACAGAAAAGCTCCATCAGGGATCCTGTCCCCAGATGTACGTGGGCCTGGGCTCACCTGAGCCAGGCCTGTTCCTTCCTGACAGATCTCTGGAGCCTCAGCTGAGAGCTGACTCCAGATTCCTAAAAAGCCAGAGAGCAGGGCTGCTGCAGGGTGGCCGGCCACCATGGTCTCTCCCACCAACTGCTGCTTAAAATCCCCTCATGGTTCTTGGCTTCGCCTCCACCTGCTTTGCCCTCGGCAGCCTTGCAGAGCCTCCCTTCCCTGCACGGAGGGGCTGGATCTGACTCAGATGATTTCACTTATCATGCAGATATTTTCCTTTCATCCCACATTGTCCCCTAATGGCCCACCTTGGAGTCTGTGGGTGACCCTGACTCCAGAATTTGGCTCAGAAAATGAGGGTCATAACCCTTGCCTTACGGTGTCATCGCAAAGGTCCCGAGAGATGGCACAAGGGCAGCATGTGACTGGGGCAACACCTGGCATTCAGAAGACGCTCAAACAGTGGCCGTTTCTCATGCGTTTCTCCTTTGCGTCTGGGTTGGTTGGCCCCAGGCTTGGAATGGGATGCTTTTAGACCTATATCCAAGGCTCAGTCCTTGAAAGAACTGGTTAGTTTGGCCTAAAGGAAACTTCAGTTCCCAGCTCCCAACAGTGCCCCTGGTCTTCCACGCCTTGAAGGAGGGGGGCATGGAGGACCCGAGAGAGGGGGCTGTGGACGGCTCCGCTCGGTGTCCCTGCTACAGGAGGAGCAGCTCAGAGGCGTCTTCAGAAGGAAGGACTGACAGAGCCTGGATGTCTCTGCCTCGCCAGGTCTTGGACAGATGGGCAGGCAGTTGCCGGTGCAGAGTTCACCAGCCTCACATCCTTTCTCAGCATTGGTGGCTAGTGATACTGGCTTCCCATGCAGAGGTCCCTGCACTTGAATAGGACTTGGGGGATTCTCCTGGCACCAAAGAGTGAAGAACGGAACTTGGAGCATGACGCCGTGAAGAATATTCTCTGGTTCATCCTCGTACCCCACCCCTGCCCTAGGGAAGCGCTTGATGTCTTCCAGCCCAGCTGAGCTGTGCGGTGTCCTCTCAGGGGACCCTGGTCAGCCAGGATCTCATCTCTCCCAGTCTCTGGCAGGACCCTCACTTTTGCCCTTCAGTGACCACATGGTGGATGTTGGCCAGATTGGCTGATGTCCATCCTTGGCCCTGCCCATCCTTGCCAAATTTAGGCTCCTCCACAAAGAAGGGGGGCTCAGCGAATGAGCAAGACTTTCCCTAGATGAGAACATGTGTGTGAACTCCCTGGTTTCTCAGCAATTTCTGGGCTGCCTGGAGTTGCAGGGCAGGGCTTAAGGTCATTAGAGATCATGCAGTCTGTCAGCTCCATAAATACAGAGACACATACAGACACGCAGATACACACACACACACACATGCATCTGGGTGGGTGTGGCCTTGGTCCTGGGGAGCTGGGTCAGAAGAAGGGTGGGGATGCCACAAATAGCTTCCCCTCCTTTGGGGGAAGGAGTAGAGGGGGCAGGAGGGGCTTGATCACAGCCACCTGGGGCTGGGGCACCTGCTCAGTGGTCTTGGGTAGGTTCGCCTCCTCCTTGTTCCCCTTGGAGAGCTATTACTGCATGGAGGGGAGGGGAGGGGAGGGCTTCCCTGTCAATCCCATCACACCTCCGGCCTCTTGGCTCCCCCTGCAGATGTTCCAGTGGCTTTGACCGCTACCGCCAGGAGTGGCTGGCCTACGGCTGTGCCCAGGAGGTGAGAGGCTGAAGTGAGCGGGTGGGGGAAGGGCAGGGCTGCAGGCCCACCCCTTGCCTGGTTGCTCTTCTCTTGGTGACATGCTCCCCTCCACTGGGGCTTGCCTCCCTGTCTGATCTGTGTCTGATCTGTGAGACCAATGTGGGAGGTTTTTGAGGGCCTGGTGTGTCCTTGAGACAAGCACTTCTCCTGGTGACTTGGCCCAGAGCAGCAGTTCTCCAGGGGCTCTCTTGGTCCTTGCAGAGGGTATAGTGGGTGTGGCCTTGGCCATACTGGAATCTTCTAGGAGGCTGTGTGCCTGGTAACATTCAAGAAGTCACTGCCCCAGCTCCAACCTTCAGGCATTTAAGGAAGGCGGTCATTCTGGGAGCAAAGTGGGTTGTACCTGGCACCTCCCATTTAGAATCCCATACAGGTTCGACCCCTGGGTTGGAAAGATCCCCTGGAGGAGGACATGGCAACCCACTCCAGTATTCTTGCTTGGAGAATCCCATGGACAGAGGAGCCTGGTGGGCTACAGTCCATAAGGTTACAAAGAGTCGGACATGGCTGAAGTGTCTTAGCATGCATGCACAAGCACAGGTTCCGTCTCACTTGGAATTTTCCAGAATGCTCAATGCTCTGGATGGGTCATGTCCTATTCTCACACCTTTTACTGACACAGAGAGACTCATTCATGTATGCATCCTTTCCCCTCCCTTCCCCTCACTTTCCCTTCTTGCAGGGCAAGCACATGGCATGTGCCCAACACTTGCTCTGATTTAATCCTATCATGGTCCCAGGAGCTAGGGAACAGTGTCCCCATTGATCAGAGAAGGAAACTGAGCCTCAGAGAGGTTCAGTGACTTGGCTGGCAGCTCACAGCTGGTGAAATGGTGAAGGTGTCGGGCCCAGGATTTAAATATGAACCCCCAGAATTACTGCTATGCTCTCACTACCATCTGTTTTATCATTGAGGCTGGGTGAGCTGTTTCTGGTCTTCAAAAAAAAAAACCCCAAACCCCTTGTCCATCCAACAGCCTGTTTCTGACATTGGCTGTTGGTAAATGTACTCATTTGCTTTATTTATTTAAGATTGGCATCTCAGCTCCTTCAGGAAGGATTCGAAGCAGTTGAGAGATAAATTGCCCTGTAAGATAAGATACTTTCAGGATAAAGTGGAAAGCTCAAATGCATTCAGAGCCCAGCTTTGGTTAGATTACCATGCCTGAACCACTCACTGGAATCTTAAATCTTCTGGCCGCTGAGGGATGAAAGCACCCCCAGGGTCCTTCTGTGTGCGACGGAGCCACTGGTAAGGCCTCTGTCCATCGCAGCACCGGGTCTCTCTTGCAGGCAGAAGGCAGAACATGTGAGGACTTCCAGGATGAGGACTCCTACTCGTCCTCCCCCGACAGCTCCTTCAGCCCCTTTGACGCAGACCTCACCACCACCTCCTCCTCCCTCTTCATTGACAGCCTCACCACGGAAGGTACGAATGGGGAGGAGCCATGGCCCTGAAGCATCCCTGCCCCTGATGGGGATTATCTCAGGGAACAGAGTCTTTGCTTCCTGTCACATCTGAGGCTCCCAGAGCCTGGGTCACTTGCCAGTGAGACCCAGAGCTAGGTTTAGGACAAGTAGACTCCATGCCCGCGTCAGAGTTGTGAAACAGAGGGTGACAGAAAAAATTACTGTCCCAGCACAATGCCAATTATTTTACATAATAACTTGATTCATCTTAATAGCAATTCTCAGAGAACCTGTGAGATCTTAGCATCCCGGTAGCAGGTATGAACTCAGGCTCACACACTCAGACGTCAGAGAAAGATTGCATAATTTTTCTGTGACTTCCCTTCTGGTTCCCACCCCTCATTGGGCTGGCATGGTGGGAAGTTCCACCCCCGCCGTTCTGGGGCTTGGCTTTCCACTGCTGTGATGTCCAGGGGGCAGAGGGGAGTGCGGGACATCTCTGACCATCTGGGTTGTTGCTGAACTGCTTCTTCAGGCCTGGATGTCCCTGGGGCCTTCTCTGCCATCCCCATGTTACTGGTGGAATGGTGATTCCTGGGTTCTTGTCCTCAAAACGGAAAGAAATCAATCTAGAGACATAGAACAGTTTTAAGCAGCGGGAGTTTTAATAAGCAAAGCAATATGTACACTCTTGAGAAGGGAGGAGAGCAGACTGTCTGGGGGCCAGAAGCAGCCCCACAGTGAAGGTAGAGTTGGGTTGTTCAGAGTGATGGAAAGTCCCTCCCTGTGTCCTGCATCACTGGATTGATGAGTCGATTGACAGCTTTAGGTTATGTAACTTTTCTCCCATAAGCACCCAAGTAGAAACGGGTTGGGGGGGTGGTGGGCAGGGAATGGCAATACTAATTTATTATAAATACTGTATAATGAACCCCAGGCTATTCTGAGTCACCTCTTAGGTCTGGTTGCACCTACACCAACCAGTACTGGCGGTTTGGAAAGCCCCGTTGGGTTTTTATTATCTGGCTTGGTCCTGATAAGGCTGGAAATTTTGCAGACCTTAACCATAAAAAGGGAGTTCTCTGGGCATGTTCTGGTCACCAGGGTCCAGGTCAGGCAGGGAAAGGTGACCCCGTCTAGGATGGGGTGGGCCCTGCTCATGTCTGACTTGCTGTCTAATAGTCTTCAGCTCCAAGGTCAAGTTGTTTCCACTTCTTTGAGGCCAGTTCTCAGAACCGTGGCAGTGATGTCATGGCTACAGTCTGGTCATCACGCAGTTAACTACTTCCACCGGGTGGAGGTTTTGGCGTCCAGAGGTCCTTGACTCTGCCTAATGTCTATATTATCATTCAGTCTTGTTGAACTGTTTTCCTGTTTTTGTGTTTTCTCACCTCTCTGACTAAACTTATTCTTTGGTTAAAGTTTTTCCACAGAGATAGGTAGGCTGAGGACATGGGGGGCAAGGCCCATAGGATCCTGCTCTGTTTCACTCAGGCCTAGGGTTTTATCGAAGCTGCCGGAGGTCCATCCACCCTGTGGGGAAGACCAGGCAGGGTCCCCGGATTCTTTGGCCATCTCTGAGAAATTCCTTCCTCATCCTTTTTGGATACATGGCATCTAGATTTTAACCCCTTGCCCTAAATCTAAGACTGAAAGATGTATGGGGTCTTCCTACCTCCCCTGAGCCAGATTACCTGTTTGAAAGGAGCAAATGGAAAGGAGGAAAAAGCTGGTATTTTTAAACATTATTCATCCACAATCCCATTTTATAGACAAGGAAATGGGTTCATGAGGGGCAAAGTAGGCTGCTCAGCAGTGGAATATTCTTTCTGTGGTCTCCCCCTGCCTTTGAAATGCAGCCTAGAGAACCGGAAAGCAGGAACCCATGGATCTGGCTGGAGGGAAGTGAACAGTTGATAGAAAGAGCAAACATTTAAGGGGACTGACCATGGGCCAGGTAGGGTGCTGACATTGTGTACCCATTAATTCTCAATCCTCCTAATTATGCTGAACTTTGATGCTCTTTGATCCACAGTTTACAGAGGCGACACTGTGGCTAAGAGAGGTTGATGGGCTTGCCCAAAGTGACACAGTCAGGAAAATGTGGCATCGGGTCTCATCTGGTTCCCAAAGCAGCAGTCTGGCTCGCTCGACCCCAGTGCTTTTCTCAGTGCTGAAAGGAATAGAAAAGGGTCTTCATGGGTTCATTGGGTAGAAAAATAGTGAAGCGTGAACAGTGAGGCAGGGAATTCAATACATTACTTAAAAAAGGAGCAAGAGGAGACCTTGCCCTCAGGAATTATAATGAAGTTCAGGGGTGACCTTCCAGTTAAAGGAAACTCCACTTAAAAGAACCCCCTGGCCAGTCACCCTTGAGTTAACACTATGTGCTACTGGGGGCTCAATCTGAGCCCAGAGCTGGGCTGGGGTCTGCAGACATTAGGTGAGAACCCAGCCTTTCACTCAGGGGTTTAGGGGTGAGCCATGCTGCCTGAGGCCAGAAGGGTGGCTGCGGTGGGGATGGAGAGAGCACAGTGTCTGGCATCTGGAGGTTGGGTTCAAACCCTGACTTGGAATTATTTTCCTTTAGTCCCGGGCCACTGCCATGAAAGGCTGTCCCTACATCAAAGGCTGTCCCATTGATCAGTTTTATCACGTGTGTGTCTCCTGTCATCCCAGGAATGTGTTCCTCCTGTTTGCTATGTAATAAAATTCTACATGGGAAACATTAATTGGAGTAAGGACAGTTATGGCTTTATGGCTTTCCAGTCCTGGAGGAGGTGGCAAAGATTAGCAAGTTGCCTTTATAAGAAAAAAATGTGACAAACACTTGTCCCCACAACAAACTTTCAAGGTGTCTGGAGGGACAGGTTTGGGTCACCCCCTGTCTATGTTATTACAGCCCACACAGGGAGATGACGTCCTGGGGGCAGAGCTCAGGGTCCCTAGCTCAGGGTCCAGGAAGATGCGGTGAGCGATGGGGATACAGCTCTTCAGCCAGGGGAACCCACCTGGTCAGGGCAGAGGTGGAGAGCAGAGAAGTTAGTGGGAGCGGCTGCTGAAGGGTGGTGGACCCCTTCTCTCCCCAGCCAGCCAGAAAAGCAGAGAGGGCCAGGGAAGCAGGAAGTGTGGGAGCTGGATTTTAAGTTACTTAGTTGCTTAAATGCCTCCCACTTAAATGAACCAGAATGACTTCAGAGTGGCAACCAGCTGCCACAAAATCTATGCATTTTATCATAAGGACAGACAGGCACTGACCTGGAATATCTGTGCAGTCTAAGGACTCATCTGATGAGCAGCTGAACAGAACATGTTGGTAGCAGCAAGAAGTGACTGCTAACCACAAAAAATGACCACTCATTCAGTAGACATCACACACATGGTGAATGTTCATGGACCTGGACCACAATCCATTAATTAGGGAACCAGTTTGCATTCCGAGGACCCCCAGCAAGGTAACATCGGGGACCCAGCCCTCAGTGAGGGAGAGAAAATCTGCTGCGGGTGCAGCGTGGTCACCTTTAGTCATCTTGTGGGAGGGACTGGCTGCAGGTGTCTTTTTGTCTATCAAGACTACAAGTGGCCTGGGCTACAATGTATTTCCAATGGTCTAGATTCAAAACACGTTGATTCAAAAAATCAAGTTAATTTGTCCTATCATGTTTAGGATTACTTTGGTCAACTCTGAGTAATCAATTCATCATTTTCAACTTGTAGTGATGAAATAGATTCAGAGGCGTATATAAATACCTTGTGTATTGCAATTCCTGAAGAAAACGTATCTTTCTATTTTAAGTCAACAATTCTCTGTTTTGTTTCACTTTGAATTTTTAGGGTGTTTCTGTAATTTTGCTCCTTTACTTTTGACTATGCTGGGCCTTTGTCGCTGCGCAGGCTCTTCTCTAGTAGCAGCTTCTCATTGTGAAGGCCTCTCTTGCCGCAGAGCACTGACTCCAGGAGGTGGGCTTCAGTAGTTGTAGCACACGGGCTCGGTGGTTGTGGCTCCTGGGCTCCAGAGAGCAGGCTCATTAGTTGTGGTTCACAGGCTTAGTTGCTCCACAGCCAGTGGGATCTTCCCAGACCATAGATCAAACCCATGTCTGCTGCATTATCAGGTGGACTCTTTACTTTCTGAATTTAACTTACCTGATGCAAACAGTCAACTCATTGGAAAAGACCCTGATGCTGGGAAGGATTGAAGGCAAAAGGAGAAGAGGGCGGCAGAGGATGAAATGGTTGGATAGCATCACTGATTCAATGGACTTGAACTTGGGCAACCTCCAGGAGATAGTGAGGGACAGGGAGGCCTGACGTGCTGCAGTCCGTGGAGTTGCAAAGAATTGGACACGACTTAGCAACTGAACAGCATTGACAATCAATGATAAGCAATTAAATGATTCCAAAGTCAAATCTACAAAAGCAACTATATCCAAAGAAGCTTAGTTTCTAGTTTTCTTCCTCCATTCTATTCCCTCTTTCCTCTGTGAAAGTGAAGTGAGAGTGTTAGTTGTTTAGTCCTGTCTGACTCTTTGCAACCCCATGAACTGTAGCCCACCAGGCTCCTCTGTCCATGGGATTTCCCAGGCAAGAATACTGGAGTGGGTTGCCATTCCCTTTTCCAGGGGATATTCCCGACCCAGGATCGAATCAGGGTCTCCTTCTTTGCAGGCAGATTCTTAACCATCTGAGCCACCAGGGAAGCCCCTTTCCTCTGTGGGGTACTATTTTTAAATTTCCTTCTGGTTTGTTCTTTTACTATAGTGTGATTTTTTGATATTTGAAGATTTATTGGAAACACATAGCAGAATAGGAGGCTACATTCAGGTACTGGGAGTGTAAAACGGTTGGTTGCTGAGAGGCTCATAGTCTACGGATGCTCCAGAAACAGATCAAATGCTGTGGCACATGGGAGGACACCCCCATCTATCTATCCTCTGGGAAGTGACAGGGCTGCGACCAGGACCAGACTGGGGTAAATGATACACTCGAAGCAGATATAGAAGTTAAGGAGGCATACACACACAAAAGCAATGATTAAGGAAATAATCTTTTCATGCAATATTTTCAAAAATTGAAAGTAATGCCAGAATTCTATGATGAACAAAATATCAAAAAATTTTTAAAAAGACAGAATCAGATGCTGTTTCACTTGTGTCATCCTAGCCTCAGCCCTCAAGAGTCCTTTCAGGAGTGGGACTTTTGAAAGAGGAGTGGTGAAGGGGAGGAAGGACATGTCCTGTAGGAGGAACAGAATATGCAGAGACTCAGAGATCTGAGAAGACTCCGAGGTCTGGAGAGCCTTGAGTCGCTTGTTACACCCACTGTGACGAGTGCTATTGAGTTGACCCAATGACAGGAGAAGAGAAGACTGGGAAAAACTGCCAAGGGTCTTGAACATCTGTAATCCAAGGGGAGTCAGTGGAAGCTCCCCTTTGAATGAGGAGGATGGTGGAGGGGGAGAAGGGATGCAGAGCTGGTTGCAGGCCCTACATTGTGGAAGGTTCCATTGGTTTAATGTTTAATGCTTGAAGCAGTAATTTCTAGTCATCTAGAATAGTCTCCTGATGTGGAATTTTTGCTGTCCTTTCCCCACAGGAATGTGTGGGGAAGAACCACAGGAAGGGTCAACCATTGGAACTTATTTAGGAGGCTGCAGGGTACACTCCTTGAGGTGTAGAGGGAGTGTGTTGGCTGGAAATCTGCCTCCCACATTGTACCCTGGGTGTCTTCAAGCAGATTTGATCTTGTGGCTCACACACACCCCACCTCAAATCCTTCCTCCCCCTCCTGCTGCCCCTTAGGATACTGTGAAAGGCCCTGAATTTGGCTTTCCAGGCCGCTGTCCACCCCCACCCCCAGCCTAACTCCCTCTCATCACCCCCTACTCACAGCCTGTCTGCCCTCCAGCTGCACTGAACTGCTTTCTATATCTCTACTGGCCAAATTCTTGCTGACTCCAGCCTTTGCCCCACCGTCTATCTGGGACTCTGTCTCAGCCCCACATCTCATCCCACCTTCTCGACTGCCTTTGTGTGGACAATTTTCATTGTACCTCCATTCCCCGCCCCCCACCCCCACCCTATGACCTCGCTGAGGGCAGAGATCACATCTATCCACAGTACCTACTCCCTGTGTTCAACTGCAAGTAAATACTCAGTAAGTATTTGTTGAACGAATGAACACTAGGAAAAGTTGGCTTGTCTGTGGCCTTCGATCTTTAGACTGCTATGTGACTTTGAGCAAGTCACCTCCCTTCTCTGGGCTTCAGTTTCCTAGCCTTCAGAATGAAGGGCTGAACTGAACCTACCTAAAGTCTCATCCAGTCCTAAAGGGACAAAGGCCATTGTGATTCTGCTAACCTTGCAACTTCTCTCCTTTCCCTTTGAAGATGACACCAAAGTGAATCCCTACGCTGGAGGAGATGGTGAGTACAGAGATGCCTGCCCCTCTTCCTCACACCGCTGCCTCTTGGACTCACCCTCCAAGAGGGTGCAGCCTTCACCTGGCCTCTTTGCTTTTTGGAGAAGGAAATGGCAACCCACTCCAATACTCTTGCCTAGAAAATTCCATGGATGGAGGAGGCTGGTGGGCTACAGTCCATGGGGTTGCAAAGAGTCGGACACGCCTGAGCGACTTCACTTTCTTTCTTTGCTTTTACTCCTTGACTGGGGGAGAGGGAAACGACCACAGCCTGGGCTTCTCCAACCTCCTGCTTGGTGGGCAGGTGCGGGAAGTGGTGGGAGCTTCTGGGCACATACTGCCTAGGCTGAAAAAGCAAATCTACATCTAGACATTTCTCATCTCAGGCGGGAACCTCCTGCAGTTCTTCTGACCACAGTGCTCTTGAGTATTCACTGCCCCGAAAGGAGTGAGAGGCAGAGGAGAGGCTGAGCTAGGGCAGGCATGCCCTAGCTGTCCCCAAGGGGCCTCCCAACCAATGATGGGTGGAGAGTAGATTCTCTCATTAAAGTTGTTGCAGGAAGGGGGACTGCTTCCAGGGACCGAGAGTGAGCTCTTGTCTAACACCCTGAAATGAATTGTCTGAGGAGACACGTGGGCTGACAGAACAAGAGATGTTATTGGGAAGGGGAGCCCGGGTGAAGAGCAGCAGGGTCAGGGACCTCAGGAGGACTGCTCTGCCATGTGGTTTGCGGTCTCTGGTTTTATGGTGATGGTGTTAGTTTCTGGGTTGTCTCTGGCCAGTCATTCTGCCTCAGGGTCCTTCCTGGTGTCATGCACTTCAGCCAAGATGGATTCCAGCCAGGATTCTGGGAGGTTGGTAGGGTGTATGAACTGGAGTCTCCTCTCTCCTTTTGACCTTTCCTGAATTATTCCAGTTGGTGGTAGCTTGTTAGTGCCACGTTCCTTACTGGAACCTCCAGTTTAAGATAACTCATTCAATATTAGTGAACTAGACACTGTGGGATCTGGCCAGGGCAGGATCTGATCAGTGTTTGCCCTAACAAAGTTGCCTTTGATTCCCAACGTGGGTTGGCAGAGAGGACACAAAAGTTGTCCACCACAATTTTACACAGCTTAAGAAGGTAGGGTCCCTGCTCCCAGGACAGCCTGGGGAGATAATCTCCTCTCTGGTGATGTAGGGGTGGGGGGGCCATCTCCCCTGGCCTTTGCCCAGGGCCAGCTTAAGCCCTTGCTGCAACTACCACAAAGGGGAGATGGAAGAGCCTTCCAGCTCCAGGGGCTGGGAGACTGTTAACCCGGCTCCAACAGGAGAGGAGGGCTGTTAGCACATCAGTTAGATGGTTCCTCCCACCAGAGGTGGAGCCATTGCTCCTCTGGGCACCAGGTGTGAGTGTGCATCTGTGTCCACTGGGCTGAGGGGAGGCAGGGGGCTCTGAGCCACGTTCGTTCCCCTTATTCCACATCGTGTGCTCATCAGTCCAAGCCCTGCCCTCAGATCATCAGGGTCACTGAAGGCTGCAGGCTGATGGCCAGGTCAGGAGAGGCCAGCTCAGGGTGTGTCTTCACCACTCCCCGAGCTCTTGGCAGATACCCTGGCGGTGCCCCAGGGTAGTTTGTCTCCTAAGCTTTTTTTCTCCTGCAGACAAAAGGGTATGGGGAACACAATGACTTTAGATGTATGCAACATTTTATTAAAAATCCCCACCCCTTGTTGATTCCCATCACATCCACCAGCGAAATAAAACAGACTTCAATATTTGTGTTGCTTGCATGCTGCTCTGTCTTCTCTATGTCATTATCCCCACATCCTTTTAGGATAAGAAGAAGCAGCAAAAAGTCACCACAGGTAATATTAGTGAACTAGGCTTCTTAGCATCCTTGACTCGATGGACATGAGTTTGAGCAAGCTCCAGGAGTTGGTGATGGACAGGGAAGCCTGCTGTGCAGTCCATGGGGTCACAAAGAGTCGGACATGACTGAGCGACTGAACTGAACTGAACTGAGGCTTCTTAGTGACTGGCACTCCTTGGACGAATCCCTTTACCTCTCTGTGTTTCCATTCCTTCAGCTGTACAAGAAAGGGTTGGGTTGGATGTGCTTCCAGCTCCATAGTCTATGGAAAATACTCAGCCTTCTCCTTGGGCTGTATTTCAAATGCTTGCAATGTTCTCAGTGTTTGCTGGCTTATTAGCCCTTAGAGGACCTAGTTCATTTCTTTTATTGAGTTCCTCTGATGGGTCTGCCATTTTTTCTAAGAGTTGAGGACCCTGAGATGAATAAGAAACTGTCCCTGCCCTCCAGGAGGTCACAATCTTGTAGTGGACAGTGACAGGTAAAAATGTGGTCATTTTGCTCTCATAATTGCTACACTTATTGAAGTTGTCCCAGAGACTGGCTGTGCTCCTCAGCAGTTGACATGAATTATCTCATTTTAATCATCACTGTAATCCTATCAGGTAGTTATCATTATTATCCTGTTCTACAGAAACAATGACCGAGACACACAGAAGTTAAATAAGATGCCCAAGATTACACAGCTAGTAAGTAGCAGAGTCTGTATTTGAAACCAGATAACCAGACTCCAGATCCCACAACCATCAGATCTCTTAACCATCACATGCCCTTTGAATTCCTTAAAAGGACCTATATGGGATGGGTATGAGAGAGAGTTTTTTATGATCCTTAGAAGACATTTGGGCAACTTTTAAGTGATTTTGGAAAACCACCTGAATTGTGCTAAGAACAAAGCTAATGTCACCCTAGTTATAGTTCTGCCCGATCCACCCTTTCATGTATTTGATAAGTAGATCTGAGGGTTCTGTTGGCTTTTATCTCTGGGACTTTGTCAGAACCCAGGACTCCACGGCCCCTGCTTCCTTGATCCCCTGACCTAATGGTCTCTCCGCAGGCCTTCAGAACAACCTGGCCCCCAAGACGACAGGGTCCCCTGTGCACCTGGGCACCATCGTGGGCATTGTGCTGGCCGTCCTCCTTGTGGCTTCCATCATCCTGGCTGGGATCTACATCAATGGTCACCCCACCTCCAATGCTGCCCTCTTCTTCATCGAGGTCTGTGCAGGGTGGGGCCGCCCCTCTGCCATCCCCATCTGCGTCAGCATTCCCCAGCCATTCAGTCCCTATCTCTCCTCATCTCGTCCCTCACCCACCTCACAGCAGGCTCCTGTTTCCACTTGAGGGGCTTCATCAATTCCATCCGGGCGTGTCGCCCACTGGCAGGCGCTCTCTGAGTCCCTAAGCCCCAGGGCTTGGCCCCTCAGGACTCCTCTGGCCTGCTTGTCCTGTCGAATGGCCACTGCTTTGGCTCCACCATCTGTGGAATCAGAACAGTGACCATCCCCAGAGGAAGGAGAGAAAACCACAGATGCCTCACATGCCCTTGAGTGGTTTTGTGACCGTCCCCAGTGATTTATGGTTTCTCACACCCAAATTCCAAGGCCTGGGGCATATCCAAAGCCATAATGAAACTGAGGTCTTTGCCTCTTGGCCTGCTGTGTGCGTTTTTCAATTAGATTTGACAGGCCACAGTAATCATAAGAGTCGCTCTGTCTGGGAGCTTTCGTTGAGGATGCTGCAGTTTTGAACGTCTCAGAACTCAGAAGAGCCTGGGCTCCTCCACTGTGGGCTGCAGGGCTCGGGAGCCCCTGCCCACCCCCAACCCGTGGCGGCTGGCCAGCTCTCTGAATCCCACAGCAGGGTGGCCTCTGGGGCCACAACCCTCCACGTGGGTCACACGCCCCTTGACCTCATCATCCAGAGGCCTGGGTGGTTCCCTCCTCTCTGGTTCAATGCCACCTGTTTCTTACAAATTCTAACCAGTCATTGGTAGGTTAACACTAAGACCTGCCAAGGCTAAGACCTACCTGGTTTCACCTGGGGAACCTGCAGATCCCCAGCCACAGGGATGCAGACGGGAAGGTCTGAGACCTGGGAATCTGCGTTTTCTTCAGCTCCCCACCTCTGATGCAGGACCTGTCCTGTCTAGAGGGTTATCTTGGCATTTCCAGAAGCTCCCAGATCATTCCATCTCTTACCCATTCCCTCACTTTCCGCAGTCTTAGGGCTCCACTTGATGTATTGCTGAGTTTTTCACCTTGTGTCCTGCAGTCCACATGGCAAAGCATCAAATGACCTCCTTCCCAACTCCTGGGGCTCCCGGTGGGTTTCCCAGTGCGCCGAGGATCACAGCCGGGAGCCTTCTGGGGAGGGGGTCTACGCTTCACCTGGCTCAGGCACAGTAGCCCCCAAGAGCCCTTGAAAAGTGCTCAGAGCTGTCCCCCGGGGTGAAGGGGAGAGGGTGGGGAGGGTCCCCAGTGGGTGGGGTCACACCCACTCACTCTGCGTCTGTGCCCCCGCAGCGGAGACCTCACCACTGGCCGGCCATGAAGTTCCGCAACCACCCCAGTCACTCCACCTACACAGAGGTTGAGCCCTCAGGCCAGGAGAAGGAGGGCTTCGTGGAGGCGGAGCAGTGCTGAGAACGCCAGGTCTCCCTTGGAAGGGTACAAAGGAAGACCCGGGGACCTCAAAACACACGAGTCAAAGCAAAGCAGAGAAATGACTTTTCTTGGCCTCCTCTGAACACACCCTGGCTGGGAAAACGAGCCCGTGGCCTGCAGTGCCAGCGCTACAGTTTGGCCATCACACCCCAGATATTGAAGCAGGGGCGGAAAAGCCACAATAACCAGTAACAATCACCTGTGCCAGGGGTCTCCCCTTCTGAGTCTCTCCATGGTCTACTCCGGAGCTGCCTCAGAGGTCCCTTCCCACCTGGAGGTGGACAGATGCCCTGCTCCCATCACCTAATACCCGTGTGTACGACAAAGAGAAGCAGGCCCTCGATTGTAGCCGCCGCATTCCAGGGTCCATAGACTCAAGAGCAGGTCCTCATGGCTATGGATTCAGAGTATTTTGCCCCAGCTTCTGTGGTCTAGAAGTCTGGAGAAGGACTTCTCACCATCTGTTACACACAGGTATGGCTGCTCCCAGCGCTTTCAGCAAGACACTGATTGGCATGCTGGCATCCGAAGAAACCCAAAGGAGAAAAGAGAGAACTTGTGGGCAGATTGCGTTTTTAGGCTTCGCTTCCCCAACTTGCCCTATCTGCTGAGAATCAGTTAGTTTCTGCATTGAACACGTGTGTGGCCCATGTCACGGGCTTCATCCAACGGCAGCCCAGCCCACCAGGTGAGCCGTGCTGTGCGCGGCCACATCCATCAGGTGGGCTCTTCATTCCAGGGGCACGTTTGGGGGTCCATTGTCTTCATTGGCCTGGTTTTCCATCAGTGCCAGTCAGTACCTCCAAAGGCAGGGCCTGCCTGATCAATACTTTGCCTCCTCTGAGCTGGAATTTTATAGCCATTAAAGAGATATAAGGTGGGGAGAAGCTTCTTGAAACATACCCAACAGGGAACTTCAGTTAGATTCTGTTGAAAAGCAAAACCTCTAGGACAATTGGGACAGGGGAAGCTGGTGCAGGAAAGAAGGACTTTATATCTGCCGGAATTTCTTGGGGCAGAGAGTTTAGGCTCCCAAACCTAATCTGGTTTTTAAGTGAGTTCTGTCCTGGACATGAGTTGGTGTTGCTTCTGAAGAGCATTTCAAATGAAAACCTATAGTTCACCCTCATTCAAAGTAAAAAAAAAAAATATCAGCAGCAAATAAACATTAAATCACAGGCTCCACTATCCTTTGTTGTTGTTTAGTCACTAAGTTGTGTCAGACTGTTTGTGACCCCAGGGACTGTAGCCTGCCAGGCTCCTGTGTCCATGGAATTTCCCAGGCAAGACTACTAGAGTGGGTTGCCATTTCCTGCTCCAGGGGATCTTTCCAACCCAGGAAGCAGACCCATGTGTCCTGCGTTGGGAGGCAAATTCTTTACACGCACAGCATCACAGGTCCCACTCCCAAACTCCAGCATGCTTCTTCCTAACGGGGGCTCTTCCAATCATGCTGATTCCTGAAGGGAAAGAAGACCAAGAATGAAAAAATGGGCGGTGATGTGCTGAGGCCTCTAACTAGTAAACACTGCAGGTGGAGAAAGTTCAATATACCTCAGGCTAGTCAGAGCAAGCCTCGCTGGCTCCTGGGATAACAGTGGTGAAGGCAGTGGAGCTGTTTGTCAGCAGGTAGCCTGGTTTTTTAGCAGCAAAAAAGAACTAAAGATGTGTCATTCAGAGAGGTCCCTGGCCATTCAGAGCCCCTCAAGTCAAAACAAAGCACTCCCAAGAAATAGCCAGCAGCTCACAGAATTAATGCTGGTTCTCACCTGTTCTTAGGCTCTCTCACGAGATCAAGCATCTCTCAGACCCGAGAGTTTAACTCCAAGGTTTAGAGGGGGTTCACCGGGTAGCTACAGAGAGGGACTCAGCTGCAGAGTGAATGACCAGAACCAGACATAGCTCTTTCGTGGTCAACCAGCAATGGAGTACTTTTGTGCACCATCAACCACAGATAGCTTGCAGACTTCCAGACTCCTCTGCCCCACAGGCAAACAAAATCACCCAGGAGAGCAGGTGGTCAGCAGATCCTTCCCTACATGGTGCCTTTGGTCATCCTCACAGTGAGCCCACTGGAGAGGGGTTGGATGGGTCCATGAAAGCTCATCACTGTGACAGAAAGCTTCAACCCCATGAAACGGCTGTCCATGTGGTACCCAGAAGTCAGAAGCTCTCTGGGAGGCTCTGTTTTACATCAGAACTCTTAAGAGAGTCAACAAGAAAATGAGAAGGAAATCTGCTGGCAGTCCAGAAGTTAGGACTCTGCTTCCACTGCGGTGGCCAGACAGGGAACTAAAATCTCACAAGCCACAAAAGAAAAAGAAAGAAAGAAAGAGAGAAGAAAAATGCAGAGGCCAAGTGTGAGAGGGGATCCCTGGATCAGGCTGTGAGCACAACTTAATTCCCCTGTAATCAGCTGCCCTTAGATTTGTGGATTTGTCCAATAAGGTCCTTGGAGGTTTCTGATTCTAGAACATGAATGCATATAAGCCCAGCCAGCAATTCCAGTACCCAGGAATGCCCCAGGTGAAGCAGATGGGGTTTCCAAGCTGGACTAACACCCCATCACCCTCCTTCCTCAATCAGATATCACCACCCATTCACCCCAGCAGGCCCCTGACTCTGGAGACTGCCTCTTCATGTCTTCAGGTCTCAGCCTGGAGCCTGAGGTTGAAAATGTCCTTTTGTCACTGTTAGAGGTTCTCAATGGGCCTATGGAAACAATTTTTTTAATTTGTGTGTTTTGCCAGGACTCTCCTATGTAATGGAGCCCCTGAGTATGTATATATATTTATACAAACACACATATACATATATGTAAAATTGCTAAAAACATTGGATGAAGCTTATAGCTGTGCTCAGCCTGTAGCTAGATGTGTTATGTTAAGACAGTGGGAAAAGCTGTCAGTCAACCACACTATATGAAAAGCAGAGTATTCACTTGAGCTGTTCACTTATCTCATTGTGGACAGAGCTAAAATTGTCTTCTCTGGGTGCTGGAGCAGATTTTCTCAAAGCACTGATTAGGAGCCATACCCAGACTCCCTATATCAGGTATAGTCACAAATCAAATCAGCCTCTTTCTCTGTCTCTCACCATCTCCCATTCTCTCCTCCCCTAGGTGCCCCCCCACAACAAAAAGACACCTGAGCTTACAGCACAATTCAAAGGATTTGGGATATGAGGGCACCGTGTGTGTGTGTGTGTGTGTGTGTGTGTGTGTGTGCAGTCGCGTCCAACTCTTTGAGACCCCGTGGACTGCAACTCACCAGGCTCCTCTGTCCATGAAATTTCCCAGGCAAGATTACTGGAGTGGGTTGCCATTTCCTCCTCTAGGATATCTTCCCAACCCAGGGATCGAACCCACATCTCCTGCATCTCCTGCACTGGCAAGTGGATTCTTTACCACTGGCTCCACCTGGGAAACCTACCTGTTTTAAATGCAATCTTTTCACATATTTAGCGTGAGAATTCTTTGCACAGATTCCCAGTGTTAATAATAAAAGGCAACATTCTTTTATAACTTCTGCGTGTGCAAAATTAAGTGCAAAAGATTTTGAGTGACATTATGCAAGTCATCCCACAGCCCTTAGTACTGATGACTGCCTTCTCTGAGGACCTACCCTAAGGAGCAGAGGAAGAGCCTCCAGCAATCTGCCAAGCAGGCGTGTTCTTCCCAAACTCCTGTCCCATCTCAAAGAGAAACAGCCTGGAAAGAGATTCTAGCTATTTATTTATCAGAGGTGTGTAAGTCCCTGGAAGTAAACTACATGGGTTTCTAATCTACTATCTCGAGACAGAAAATAAATCTGCTAAATTGATGCTGCCACATTTCTGAAGATTTTACATTTGAACCACCTTAGCAGCCTCACCGTGGGTTTTTATTACTTCGCAATTTTGCTCACAAAACATGGTTAAGCAAATCAAAACAGAAAGAGGAAAAACTTGAACTCCTCACGGCCAAACTCAGCTATGCCAAATTTCAGGCTCCAAACAAACCAGCTTATAAATAAACATGTTTTGTTTGCCAAATAGAGAGGAGTATATTGGAGAAGGCAATGTGGATTGATGAGAAAGCCCTGGGCTACTCCATGGTGCTTCAGAAGGTGGGAGCTTCGAACCCTGCCCTGCCCCTGAGAAGCTGTGTGTTGTTGGCCAAGTCATCCAACTTCTCTGGGCCTCTGCAAAATAAGGGAGTGGGAGGACTAATTGATCTAAGGAGAGGATGTTTTCCTCTCCTTAGCAAATATGCTTATCTGGCTTTGTTCTTTCCAATTCACAAGCAGCTTGAATGGAAGCATCCCTTTGGCTTCCATTATCCCTGGTGGCTCAGAGGATAAAGCGTCTACATGCCATGCAGGAAACCTGGGTTCAATCCTCAATTTGGGAAGATCCCCTGGAGAAGGAAATGGCAACCCACTCCAGTATTCTTGCCTGGAGAATCCCATGGACAGAGGAGCCTGATGGGCTACAGTCCTTGGGGTCGCAAAGAGTTGGACACAACTGAGCGACTTCACACACATCCTTAGTAAAGTTACCAACTTGTTCTAGTTTGCCTGGGACTTCCTGACTTTAACACTGAGAGTCCTGTGTCCCGGGAAACCACTTGATCAACAACCCACTGGGACAGTGGTCAGTCTATCCTTAGAGTCTATCCTGAACCCACTGGTTGAGGAGATGTCAACAATCTCAAGTACCTGCAGAGCATTTAAGTGTGGTCCATACAGGCATCCCCTGGGGGTTAACTGGTAATGCAGAATTCAGGCCCACCTACCCCAGACCTATTGAGTCAGAATCTGCAATTGACCAGCTGCTCAGGTGACTCAGGTGAAATGCTCGAACATTTGAGAAGCATTTCTAGGAAGCAATTTTACTGACATGATCACAGCCTGCTGGAGGGGCATTATTTCCCCATCTCTCAGATGAGGAAATTGAGACTCAGACAGACAGTTCCCTTGTTTATTTACTCATTCTCTCCATACTTATTAAGCACCTACTGTGTGCCAGGCATCANGCATTATTTTCCCATCTCTCAGATGAGGAAATTGAGACTCAGACAGACAGTTCCCTTGTTTATTTACTCATTCTCTCCATACTTATTAAGCACCTACTGTGTGCCAGGCATCATTAAGTGGCCTGCCCAAGGTCACACAGTAGTTGAGAGAATTCCCAAACTCTGGACTTGGTTCCCACCTGGGGTTGTTCCTCTAGGCCAGGGCAGTGCCCGAGCCATGTGGCCACAGTTTAATTGGGGAGCGGGGACTTCCCTGGTTGTCCAGTGGCTAAGACTCTGTGCTGTCAATGCAGGGGGCCCAGGATTCGATCCCTGATCAGGGAACTAGATCCCACATGCTATAACCAAAGATCCCACATGCCGCAACTAAGACTCGGAGCAGCCAAATAAGTTAAAGATAAACAGAGCCACCCTAGGCCTATGAGAGTCTTAAAAAGATGCAGAACAAGGACATGCACTCGTATCCCCCAAAACTGTGAGCTTATCAGCTATTTATTTACAGAGTCCAAGACTCACTGTTCTTGCCTCCTCAACTGGATCCCCCACCCCAGTAACACTCCCTCAGGAAGATTGGAAAAACTGTCCTTTTACAGAACACAAGGCCTGCCCTGGGGCTTATTTTTTTGAATGAAGACAATTGATTACTTCACTGTCCCCATGGGGCTGGAGAGAAGGGAGATGGGAGGGGAGGGAGAATCCTTCCTTGAACTGCTAACACCAGAGAAATTCTTCAGGGGATGGTTTTTCTGATATTCATAAAACATTTTTACATTTGGTCCCTAGAGATAGCTGAATCATACCCACAGTTTTCCACAAAGCTAAAAGCACAAAGAAACATCTGAATGTAGGCCAATAAAATCTCATCATACACTCCCAGTCTTGGGTGAGAAACTTCTTCCAGCTTCAGTCTTTCCTTTTCACATTTTTCTATTCAGAAAGTGACTATCACCACATGGGATACCCAAAAGGTATAAGACTCACCATAACCAGTGGCAAGAAGTCTGAAAAGCCTTAAAAAATAACAGATCCCATCTCTCCTGCATTGATCCACCTTACCATCTCTCAGTTTAGACCCCATTTGGTTTTTTTAAATTTTTATTTATTTATTTGACTGACCAGGTCTTAGCTGTGGCACGTAGGAGCTTTAGCTGTGCATGTAGGATCTAGTTCC